TTTGTTAAAAAAGAAACGTTTCGCCCCTCGTCCAAGAGGCTTCGTCACCATTAGTGAAAAGGCCAGACTTCAGGGGTATCTGAGGCAGGCTTGAAACACAAGAGTCAGGGTGGCTTCTGGGTAATACCAGATGGCTAGGCCTCAGACTGACGAAGCCTCTTGGACGAGGGGCGAAACGTTTCTTTTTTAACAAAAAAAACGAAGTCCAGATGACATGATTCAACCTTTTTTGTTGTCACACCAAATAGTTGGAAAGCTAGTCTGACTTGTTTATTACAAGTAATCTCATGTAAGCAGATGACATTTCTCTGCATCTTAATTGTTTAAAATGTGAAACGATGTATTTTGTACGAGGGTTAGCACAGGGCTGGATGTACTTCAGATTTAATGACCGAGTTACACTGACAGAAGCGCAAATAAACCGAGGTGGTGGTTATTCAAGAATCTTTTACTTTTCGGGTTAAAATTTTGACTTTGGGTGGCTTTCCCGTTGACTTTTCTCAACTTGAACTTGGAAAATCTGACTTTCAAGTTCATAAGATGCACCAATTAATCCCCAAAATGTCCTTAGTTCCTGAAAACAGTATCTATGGTCACAACACACTTTAGGTTACAACTGAATACTTCTGCTTGACTGGACCCTCACTGTACTTGTGGTGCCTGGATGTTGGAGAAAACATTTTGCTTTCAGGAAGACTAGAACAAATTAACCCTATAAATGACTTGTGCACTTTGTTAGGGTCACATGTCATTATAATGGCTTTTCTGTGTGGAAGACTGAAATATTACTATATTTCTTCATCTAATGCTATATTTAAACTTGTGAACCAATTTGTGTTCAGCTCCTTGATTACAAGGGCTAGTGTTACAAGGTTGTAAGAATTGGGGGCTCGTCCGGGATGAAGGTTGTATCAATTGGGGGCTTGTCTGGGATTGTGGTGTAACAATTAGAGTCTTGTCCGAAACCAAGGTTGTAACACTAGAAAGAAATGTTTTTTTCATTTTATTCATAGGCTTTAATTTATGGAATAAGGCAAAAAATGACTAGACTGAATGGCAGGTGTATTTTATGCATTCTGTAATGGAGTTTATTATTGTGAAAACCTCAAATAAAATTTTACAGGTTTCCATAATTCTAGAGTTGTGATGAATGCATCACTGCTGAACTGTATGACCAGACTCATTGTTTGCTGTTCTTATTGGATTTAAGTTTTCTAGCAGCTTTCACTTTGACTCCCTGACATTTACCAAAGTAAAACCTGCCGTTTGCTCTCAGGTGGGAGATCGCGTTATCTCAATGAACCGTTGCGAGATGTGGCAGGAACTTGTCGTCGTACCCGTCAAGCGCACCTACCCCATGCCTGAAGAAATGAGTTTTGAGGAAGCTGCCGCGCTCCCCACAAACTACATGACGGCGTACATGATGCTGTTCGAGATGGCCAACCTCCGGCCGGGGAAAAGTGTTCTCATTCACATGGCTGCAGGTAAGAAACAGACTGAAAACATTTATTCTTACTTTTCGACCTAATCTCTAATGTTATTTAAAGATTATAAGGAAAGAAAATTCTTATAAGTAATATTAATAATGTGAATCAGAGACGTCTATGGTATTGTGGCACAGAAAATATGTCACTCAATGAAATAATTGTTCAGCATTAGGAGCATTTCCTTCAGTCTGCAAGCTGAAAATAGAGGAGTCACCTTTAGTTCAGGTCAGTATAATCAGTCCTCTGAATTCAGCTGCATTTCTGTGGTAAAAACTATCCGGCAGAAGACACGGGTCAGCTGTGTGTACTTTGGTCTCATAACATTTTATTCATGAAATGTCAAACTGGATCCTTATCAAACCTGGTTGCTTTGGCAACGCTTGGCATTTCAAACTTTTTTCCACCAAAAGGTTGCAGATGTCTGGGAGTTCAAAGCAAGACCTCACTAATAATAGTAGCAGTAATCACTGCTGTATCTTTAACTTATTAACCTTTGCAAATTATGCACAGTAACATGATTCAAAATTGTTTTGGGGGGACAAAATCCACAATTGGATGAATTATTCCAAAGACCCCATTTGTTTGTGAGAAAAATGTTTGGTACAAGGAGGGTTTTAAGGTGTTTGTTGGAATAACTTAGACAAGGGGTATTCAACTGGCGGCCAGTGGACCACAACCGGCCCACAGGTATGCTTAGTCTGGCTTTCGGACGAGCTCCTTTAAAATAAAACATTTTTTAAACTAATATTTCTTTAAATGTGAATTGGCAAATATTTCTATCAGAGAGGCAATCTTGTCATATAAATGATCCATGACAGGACTATACAACTCGATCCACCTGTCAATGACTTCATTTAAATAAACTTAGATTTTGAGTCGTAATTTAATCTATATTATAACTGCTAGTTGTCCGGCCCCTGAGCTGTTGGCTTTCAGCAACTGTGACCCCCTGAGCAGTTTTGAATAGCCCTGGTGCAGATAACGATATTAAATATAGGAAAAACTATTGGTTAAAAAATATCCTGAGTAGATAGATAGTAGATAGTCTGAATAGAGGGGCCACAAGTCATCTTAGCTTTAGTGCTAACAGTGGATAAATAAATGTTGCATTAACTTGGCAAATTTGTTTAGTTTTTTTTTTATTTATAGTGTTTCACATTTATTTGATCATTTGTTTATTCATCCATACAGGCACGGATGAATGAGTTCTCCAGATTAAGATTCAAACCAGCACAAATTAAACAATTTTATAAATGAAGCTAAAACGTTGTCAATACCAGTTACAGTAGTCCCTCGCTACTTGGCGGTTCGTTTTTCGCGGACTTGCTACTTTGCGGTTTTTCAAAGTAAGATTGTGCATGACACGCTGGCTGATTGATGGATGAGCTGCACGATTGAATACTAAAATAAACTAGTACAAACCGGATTCCAAAAAAGTTGGGACACTAAACAAATTGTGAATAAAAACTGAATGCAATGATGTGGAGATGGCAAATGTCAATATTTTATTCGTAATATAACATAGATGACAGATCAAAAGTTTAATCTGAGTAAATGTAACATCTTAAAGGAAAAATATGTTGATTCAAAATTTCACAGTGTCAACAATTCCCCAAAAAGTTGGGACAAGTAGCAATAAGTGGCTGGACAAAGGAAATTGAGCATATAACAAACAGCTGGAAGACCAATTAACACTAATTAGGTCAATTGAAAACATGATTGGATATAAAAAGAGCTTCTCAGAGTGTCAGTGTCTCTCAGAAGCCAAGATGGTAAGAGGATAACCAATTCCACCATTGTTGCGCAGAAAGATAGTGCAGCAATACCAGAATGGTGTTACCCAGCGTAAAATAGCAAAGACTTTTAAGTTATCATCATCAACCGTGCATAACATCATCAAAAGATTCAGAGAAACTGGAACAATCGCTGTGCGTAAGGGTCAAGGCTGTAAAACTCTACTGGATGCTCGTGATCTCCGGGCCCTTAAATGTCACTGCACCTCAAACAGGAATGCCACTGTCAAGGAAATAACAGAATGGGCTCAGGAATACTTCCAGAAAGCATTGTCAGTGAACACAATCCACCGTGCCATTCGCCGTTGCCAGCTGAAACTCTACAGTGCGAAGAGGAAGCCATTTCTAAGGAAGCTCCACAAGCTCAGACGTTTGCACTGGGCCAGGGGTCATTTAAAATGGAGTGTGGCAAAATGGAAGACTGTTCTGTGGTCAGATGAGTCAAGATTTGAAGTTTTTTATGGAACACTGGGACGCCATGTCATACGGACCAGAGAGGACAAGGACTTGAGAAACTGGTCTCCTCTGTCCCCAGACGTCTGTTGAGTGTTGTAAGAATAAGGGGGGATGCCACACAGTGGTAAAAATGGACTTGTCACAACTTTTTTGGGATTTGTTGACGCCATGAAATTTGGAAATGACAGATTTGTCCCTTAAAATGATACATTCTCTCAGTTTAAACTTTTGATCTGTGATTTGTGTTCTATTCTGAATAAAATATTAGATGTTGGCACCTCCACATCATTGCATTCAGTTTTTATTCACAATTTGTTTAGTGTCCCAACTTTTTTGGAATCCGGTTTGTACTTACTTGTACTACTGTTCCTACTTTGGGTTTTTTTCACTTATTGTGGGGCTTCAGGGTACGGATCCCCCGCGATAAACGAGGGACTACTGTATTTATGGTTCTTTTTAAGAAAACTTTTAAGAAAAGCATTTTTTTTTTCTGCCTTCCATATTGAACTCTAGACGCTTGCTTTTTCTGTTTGCAATAAATGCAAAACACATGAAAAGCTTCACTAAAATTATAAATTAGACAGATTGCCAAACAGGATGTAGCATAGCTAAAAGCTTGCTAACATTTGTTAATGTTTGCTAACGTTTAGCTTCAATGCAGCTTTGTTTCTTTGCAGTTATAAAACTCTCCCATTGTAAATAAAATAAGTTTAACTTGAATGATAACTCCAGTCATTTATAATATTAACTAAATTCATCATTAATGACAAAAAAAAAATTCAAAGAACTTATATTTTCTACATTGGTTATTTAAATCTGATAATTACATCATACGGATTACATTAACTTGTCACGCATGCAGTATATCAAAACTTTTATATACTTAAATCAGTCATTTACTTATGTTTAGTGAATTTAGCGTGAAATATACAGAACGGTTGAAATACCCCTCAGAATCAGAGCACATCGGTCAGTTTTTGTCAGAATCACAGCCTCCACAGTCACAGTTTTGACCTTCATCGCCGCCCCCTCAAAGACCATTCGTCAGCTCTGAGTGGGTCGATGCTCATCAGCTGACTTGTATAAATCAACCATAAGAGGCCAGGGTCAAACAAAAAGAGAAGTGACAACTGGTGAACCTCCACGCCCACATCTTCTTTTGAATGATATAAGATGGTGGATCAACAGGATGTTGTATTCTTCAACGTGAGTTCACAAAGCTCACAAAGAGCTGCCTTCTGGTAAACTTGCTGTGGTGACCCAGTTGAGTTGCAGTGCAGAAAATACTCTATTCAAATGATGTGGTGAAAACGTGCCAACAACACTTAGTCAGCTAATCTGTTCAATTGGCAGGGTGTGTTCAAAACTGCATCCCTTAGATCGTTTCATGATCAAAGTGCTGGTTGTTTCGAAGCACACGGAGGTTGTAGAGTAGAACATGTGCTGTTGGTCTCATCTGTCGGCGCTGCTGTGTGCACATCTGTAGGTGGTGTGGGCATTGCTGCAACCCAGCTGTGCCAGACTGTGCAGGATGTCACCGTGTTTGGCACTGCTTCAGCTTCCAAACACGAGATCATCAGCCAAGGCGGGGTAACTCACCCCATTGACTACCGGACCAAAGACTATGTGACCGAAATACGCAAAATCAGCCCAAACGGTAAAAACAAAAATACTTTTTTTTTTTTTTAACTTAAATAACTCCTCCTGATGTTTATTCTTGTCTTACTGATAACCTTTTTCTCTCTGTAGGAGTTGATATTGTCCTGGATCCACTTGGTGGTTCTGACACCCAAAAAGGCTTTAGTTTGCTAAAACCTTTGGGGATGCTAATAGCTTTTGGTAAGGCCCAACTTTTGGAAATATTCTTTAAAAACTGCATCATTTCCATGTACTTGTGTTTTAGTTTGAGCTTGTTTAGATTAAACAATCTCGTGATGTTTTTTTTTCATTCTGAGTAATGAAACAAAAGTTACAAGCCAAAAAATGCCATTTATCTAAAATACTAATCTATCCTCCTGGTGGCATTTTGCTCATCATAAAAGACGACAAGCTATGATTGTATGGGAACCGTTTTGTTATTTAATGTGCAAGCCACAAGCAGAATTTATTATTGTTAATCTCGTAATTTGACACAGCTCATGTCTTGTTTTAAAGAATGAAAGTGAGCAATGGGAGTTTCAGCATCAGTGAGACACTAAACGTTGCTACAACACTGTAAAATCCTTCCCAGTAGTTTATTAAACCCATTTTGTTCTGGTGCTTGTCATTTCAGGTGCGGCTAACTGTGTCACGGGTCAGAAGAAGAACCTGTTGGCCATGGCGAAGACCTGGTACCACCAGCTTTCTCTCAACTCCCTGAAACTGATGCAGAACAACAAGGCCATCTCCGGCTTCCATCTAGGCTACATCACCGATGAGGAGCTCTTTGACAGGACTCTCTTTAAGCTGCTGGAGCTCTACAAGCAGGGGAAGATCAAGCCACGCATCGACTCCTGCTACCACTTTGAGGAGGTCAGCGTGATTTCATCAACTTATAGTAGCATCATGTAGGATTTGTGAGAAGCTGAGAGGTCAAGAGGGAAAACTTTAAACATTGTTAGGGGAGAAGAAGGGTCAACAATTTAACCAAACTCTTCAATTTATCACAAGAACGGAATACCCAGAGCAGAAGGACTGATGATGAACAACTCAAAAACACAATTCAGTGCTTTTATTTACTGTGAGCAATAATTCAGGACGAAACAGGAACCCCGAGGAGCAAGGAGATGGGTCAGGTCCAGAGTTCTGCACAGAGGGTTACTCAGAATCTGCAGGTGCCTTGCTAGTAGATGGATGGTAAGATGTTTGGTTCCAAAGTCCTGTACAATCATGAGAAGATCCAGTATACTCAGGAGGGTGTGTGGTTGGAGGGTGAGGAGAACAGCTGAAGAGCACACAGGTAAGGTTTCCAGAAGTTCACCAAGAGATCCACATAATCAGGTAAGTCTCAGGAGGTTCACTGGAAAGATCATAGGCAAAAGATAAGTAATCACAAGACTTAGAGATTCACAAAGGGCTAGGAGCACAAACCATAGGCAGGGTAATGCTTCAGCGTCGGAAGGAAGTCATCAGGTGCCTTGAATACACCTGGAGCCTCATCAGGACACATTGCTTGCAGGTGTGGTAGTATGACTACTTTTAGTTTATGTTCTTTGTTTAAAACGGGTCTCTCTTGTAAATGAGTCCTCGTAACTCAATGAGACTAACCTGTATAAATAAAGGTTGAATGAATGAATGAATGGCACCCTCTGGTGACCAAAGACAGACATGGAACAGGAACTCCCACAATCTTTTTTTTTTTATCTTTATTTTAGCAAATGGCAAGTATACAACAAACAATCGAATGGAGTATACAGAAGAACACAACACTTACATGAACAAATAACCAGGGGTGTTAATTAGACAAATATTTGTGAAGATCTTCAGCTAGAAATTGTCCTGAGGGTCTTTTTATTGGTAGTCTTTTATTAATTTAACATATAGAGTCCCACATCCTTAATAAAATGAAGAAAATGTGGCGTTTTGTTAATAAATTTACATTTATGAATGTTAAATTTGGCCAAAAGAATGAGCAAGTTTATTATTTACAAAAAACAAACATTTACTATCCTTTCTAGGGAATCTAGAAAAACAAAGTAAAACATTTTCCCAATGTAAAGAAAAATCCCTTAAAACATGGTTATTAATAAACCTGCTAAACTCCTTCCAAAACCTGCGGAACTCCCACAATCTTTGCCCTGTTCTGTTCTCTGTTTAGATCTCTCCAAATACCGAGTTTAAATGTCACCCCTCAGTGAAATATTGTTTATCAAACAAGTTTTAAATGAGTTGGACATGTTTTTATTATCATTGTTATTATTGCAGTACTGAAAGCTGCACAAATTTAAGGTGCAGTAATTAAAGCTTGTTTTGAGTTTGCTGAATGTATATCCTAATTTTTTAACAGTGTAATAACTAACAACGTTTAGTTTAAGCTGTCCCCTTACAAATACTGGACATTTATTTTTATTAAAGCCATCAAACTTAGAGTTTCATGAGCTATTTTGTATCTGGTAGCTTTTTGGTGGCTGTCTTCAAAATTCCCACCAAAACACTTAAGACATGCATTGTCCTGTCAAAATATTTTTATTATCATTATCAAAAAATATCTACATTTATCATGCTGAACATTAGCTGAAATAGATTAAAAATAAAGTAAAAAGTAAAATATCTTTCCTATAAATCTGTCAGGACAATTTAAAGTTAGCATAGCATAAAACAAAAACAAAACTTTTGCTTAATTAGTTTTTTCTATGAACAAATCATCAGCTAATAAAAACTTTGTTTTTGTAACAATTAGAAAAATGTTTTGTTGTATTTGATAAGATATAAAGGCAAATTTAAGCAAAGCCAACCTGAATGGTTTCCTTATGTCCAATTTTTATGCTAAGCTAAGCTAAACGGTGCAGCTAAACACTAACAGTAGCTAGTTTCTTGTATAAATATGAGAACTGGGTCGATCTGGGCTCCAAAATCTTTAAAAAATGTTTGTAAATCCATATAATGTAAATTGTATTTCTTTAAAAGCAAAACACTTTGTTTTATTTGCGCTTGAACACTTAAAATATTCAGACATGGGACAAAATCAGAGTAAGTCGTCAACTTGACAAAAACTCTCTCCTGTAAATTAAACATTACTTTTGTATGTGTTTGTTTTTCATTGTTTATGTGAAACTACAGAACAGAAGTCCAGTTGCTTTCAATTTTTATTTTAATTTGCCATGTCCTGGATGACTGGATTAATCTACAGGAATAGATGATGCTGTCATTAGAGTTGGACCTTATCAATACTAACGTGATGGGATCGATACAGATTGGCATCTTGTTCAGATTATACGTAAAACAGACTATAACTACAAATCAATGCTTCTGTTAAGATTTAGTCTTTTTACTTGTAATGTCTGGATTTTAGGCTTTTCATATTTAGTTAACATTGCCAATTTTAGACTTAGCTCATATTTTTCTAGTAGAAAATAAAATATTGGCATGTTTAAATGGAATTAAAAGTAGATATATAACCAAGCTGACATGAGGAGATTAGGTCAGCAAAATCATTTATAGTAACATTTTTTGACGGCTATATTGTTGCAGTTTAAGCTCTTATGCCACCTAAATGGTTTTGGCTTAGCCTTGACAATATTTTAAAAAAAGACCAAAGATTGCAAACAAGCTGATTTTATTTTTATTTTTTCTTGTTCAAAATCCATTTTTCTTCCCTCAATAATTATTTTTCCAAAAAGAAGCCTAAAAGCAAAGGATGTTTTAAAGATGCACTAAAGATTTGTTGAAATTTCTACTAATGGTGCTCTATTTTTGTTTAAGAAAAGAACGATGATCTCGTATTATGAAGATATTCTTTGTGTCATTTGACAGCAGGCTTTTAACGTGTGTGTATATATATTTATATATATTATATGAATTGTATTTTTAATTTTTTGCAGAGCTTTAAAAGGTGATGTGTTATTTTACGAGATCAAAACCCATCATTTGAACTTCATTCTTTTGTATGTTTCCAGGTGGCTGAAGCCATGAAGCGCATGCATGAACGCCAAAACATCGGGAAAATCATCCTCCTACCTGAACCCAAGAAGAGTGAAGAACAAACAAAGTCCAGCGCAGATGCCGCAGAAGGTGTGGAAAAAAATGAAGCAGCCGTCAGCGAGAAGAAAGACGAGGCCGTAGAGGAAGTTAAAGCAGAGAAGGATTGAGTAAGAGGGCTTATTCAAATTATGTTATCAACACTTGGGTCAAATTGAGTCAACAGGAGAGTAAAAAGAAGCAAGATGTCATAAATTCTGTGATTTATGTCAGTATTCAACTGTTTTGTTGTGCAATATGTCAATAGTGCCATGTCTTGTTGGGAACACTTCTTTTTCAAATAAAGATTCACTTTTTCAAAAAACTTTATTTGTGGATAATTTTATATTTAACCCTGCTTCTGTAATGACACCAAGAATGGTGCAGTTTAACTTTGATGAATAAGTTTATTAATAAAATTAAGTATATTTCATTATGCAGTCTTAACAAAACTCTTAGTCTCAAAAATACTGTTTATCTGCCAGAATGTGAGAAAATAAACTGTTCAAGATACCATAGAAATCACAATAATATATAAATTAATAACTGCGATTAAACTGTGTTCTTACAGTATTCTTGGGTTTAAAGCTTATTGCAAAGTCATGAAGACCGGTCAAAAATTAAATTTATAAAGTAACAAAACAAAATCTGGAATATTCCTCTTACACTGATGCTTTTTTTGTCATTAAATTTCAAATTTATGAGCGGCTGCCAACTACCAGATATGTTCGTTTACCTACCCAAACAGCCGAAGTGACTGAAGTGACCCGGGATCATGCAGTCAGACGGTTTTGTTTTTATTGTTGTATAAGGTGTTTACGCTATGTGTGTCCTTTTCTAATATGAAGTCCTTGATGTAACAATCACTTTAAATTAGAGATTAACTTTAGGGATGCACAATATTATCGGCATTAGTATCGGTATTGGCCAATATTAGCGATAAAGTTAAATATCGGACATTGGCCATTCCATCAGAATAACTCACCAATATAAAAGGTGCTGTATGTAAAAAGGCATAAAATGTAACATTTAATTTGACATTAAACATAATCTAAGTTGAAGTGTTGCATCATTTTCAGCTCCCTTTTTGGGGATCTACATAGCAGGCCAAATTGACAAAGACCATCAAGAATAATGTATTTTAATTCCACAGCAGAGAAAGATATGTAGTAGAGCTGTCATTTCTAATCCAATCCTGGAGCCCGGCCCAATCCAGATTAGGGCCGGGCCGTAATGATGTGCTTAATGTGTGGGCCTAGCAGGTGTAGGGCTTTTGATTGCATCAGTGGACACGAACAACTGACGATCTAATTATATGGCAACATGATTTGCCATACACTCAACAGCTGCACGCAGCCATTTGACCGCACACTGACCGGCCTTGAAAGAGGTAAAAAAAAAAAAAGGTCAGTTAAAGTAAAAAAAGACGTTCAAACAAATGAGACAGCTTTGTTCTTTCCTTTAGAAGGTGGTGGTGTAATTTTAAAAAGATTCAGCTGCACTCACAGCGGACGCATGCGGCCGACGACCCAAACAGGTGAGATCACAAAATATCCGACATGTCAGAGCAGGGTCCATGTCTGAATAATGCAGAGTGCAGGTAGAAGCAGGAATTTAATGCGCTTTGACGGCCATGAAAGGACAAACACCCCCTCAGCTCCGATCTTCTGCCCTCTTAATCAGCCGTGCGTCC